TTTTTTTTTAACATGTTATCCCAATCTTATGACATAAACTGCTAACTTGGTATGATAATCCAAATTAGCTTAATCTTAATTAATAAAATTACAATTTTATTATACTAATTCAAGTTAACTCAAGTTGATTTTTTAGATATTCTTCACCTAATTTCATCTTTCCATATTTAATAAGTTGAGAATTACACATCATTTCTCTCTTTTCAAAAAAATATTTTTTCTACTAGTTATCACAATCTTTATTTTTTTATTTAATTTGACTTATTTGCTATTATTTTTTTTCTAATTGCCTAACTAAAATAAAATTAAAACATAGTAAAAACTCAAATCACAAATTTTTTTGAAAAAAAAAAAATTTCAAAGCCCACGGCGTTACACAGGTCATAGCTAGTAGCTAGTCTAAACTAAATTCCAAGATGTAAACTATTGTCGAAGGAATTTGTCAACAAGAAGAATCACGAGGTTTCGTAAAAGGAGTGCAAAACAGTAAGCCTAAAGCATGCGCTCTTGGGCCTTGGTAGGCGCCTGCTTTTGCCACTGAGCTTTCTTTTCATTTAAGACGCACCTGTTCATCTCAGATTTCTTGAAACGAATAAAGGGTTTTCTATGTTTCGAATAGAAGACAAAGCAAATCTTTTGCAATTACTATAGAAAAGTGATTCACCAAACCCCTTTCGAATATAATGCAATCAACCCTCTATGTGATTGCGGCCACTTACAAACCCTAAAATGTTGGGAGGCTAGCACCTGGTTAAGTTCTACATCTCTCAATCGAACCCATCTGTAGAAAAGGATGTTAGCTTGCAGTGCAAATCAACTATCTTTTCACCTAAGAAGATCACACCAACCATAAGGGGAGAGGTGTTTTGAGAAACTCATCCTTCTGAACATGTGTAACACCAATAATTGCTTAATAATTCATTAGGTATATCACAGACACTTGAACCTTTTATTCGCAAATCACTAAACATTTAGGTTATATGCAGTGGTTGAACAAGTATTCACAGCACTAATCACCCACAAACCAGGCTTATCAGTTATCACTCGGAGTTGTGCAAGGCATTGGCATGCCAAGGCAGTCTTCTTTCTTTTATGTCTTGGTAAGCATGCTTAATCCTTCTTCAAAGGAAAAAAGATGAAAGGGTGCGAGACAATAGCTTCAACCTCAACACATGGAGTCAAGCCCACTTGTAGAAAAAAATGTTCCAAAGCAAATCCAAACTTAAACTTCTCACCCCACAAGATCATGCTCGGAAGATGTTATACAGCCATCTGAACAAAAACAATATTAAGCATATTTGATCAATCATTAATCAAGTCTCAGTGGCAAATGAACACCCCCTCCTCCCATAGTTAAACATTAGTTTAATGCATGGGGGTTAAAGTAAACATGATGTATCCTGCCAAGTTAGTAAATTTGCCTTCCCCATAGCATATAATATAAACATTAGTTTAAAGAAGACAAAAGGCTTTATCAACTTGTCATCATATCTAAGCATGTCGAAAAATTTTAATTATCCCTTTCAATTCTATAGTGGAGTATTATGATACTATTACCATGTTTAAGAGTAAAAGAGTGACAGGTAAGTTTTAATGAATCCTCGCCAGTCCTACTTGGATTATGAGGTCCACTCAGAATCAAGGATCAGACTGCTTGAAATCATTATGTGGGTCCCTAAAAATCATAAAGCATTCACCTTTAAATCTTCATGCTTGCTTGTTCACTGTTCACTAAAGCTCTTTATATCATTTCTAACTTCAGTCAAAAATTTCTACTGAATAAGGATAAGGATTTCGCAATGATTTGCTTACTTTAACAAATACCACAGATTTTACAGTTGTCAACTGCAAAAATCATGGAATTTCCTATTCTCTAGGGCCTTGACCGAGTTTCTATTAAGGGTTGCTGTGTGGTCACTAGTTTTCAGTCACTACTCACTAAATCTCAGGCTTGGTGTTTGGCAACAAACCATTTTTTCTGGAAGAAGTAACATTTTTTCTCACAAACACATGAGAATTCATAGAGAACATGTATAGCTTCTGGTCCCCAATACAACAACCCCAACACCACAACATAAAGAGTAAGAGACAGACCAAATTGAGCGTGATATGCATGCACAGAGTACAAGAGCAAATAAACATGAAAATGGACAAAAAAATGACATCCATAAAAAAGTCAACTCTTGTAATTATTCGGACGAGGTATGTAATAGAAATCAGTTGAAATGGACTTCTCGCGTTTAGTTTGTTCAACTAATCACCCACCATCCATTACTATTACTTGATGGGATTTCTTATGCATGTTTGGTTTGCTCAAGGATAAAAAAATGCACTTTTTGCACAGCTCATCTACAGACTGACACATATTATGTTTTAGCAAGCATATGACCTTGTAAGTATGAAAGCGTAGAAAGCAGAAATTCTTGTTCTGGAAGAGTGGCTCATCAAGAGATGGAAAAAATTTTGTACCAGAAGAGCTAGGAAAGAGAATTTGTGAATTTAGTTATATGTGGGATTTGGAATTCTGAGAGAGAACCTCTTTTGTATGTGTACCTCGTTTGCTCAAGGATAAAAATAATGCACTTTTTGCACAGCTCATCCAGAGACCGACACATATTATGTTTTAGCAAGCATATCACCTTGTAAGTATGAAAGCGTAGAGCATTCTAGGGCTTGGCCTAGCGATGGAAGGGCACCTGGATTCGAATCCTGGCGTGCACGCCTGTCACCCCCGCATTCGAGCCCTGGCGTAGAAAGCAGAAATTCTTGTTCTGGAAGAGTGGCTCATCAAGAGATGGAAAAAATTTTGTACCAGAAGAGCTAGGAAAGAGAATTTGTGAATTTAGTTATATGTGGGATTTGGAATTCTGAGAGAGAACCTCTTTTGTATGCGTATCTCCACCTTTCTTTCATTTAGTGAAATTATTAGCTCCATCACGATCCTTGAAGGTAGATTTTAAGTTTAAGGAATTATACTACGTATGCAGTTCCCTTCTATTTTCTACAGTTCTCTTTGGTTAGCACTCAAAGAATCTAATGTCTATTCTCAGTCTGTTCACATAGAAAGAACAGGAAATTCCATTTCCTCCCTGATGTTATATGATTTGATATGCCAATAACAAGGACGGCAACTTGCAAGAAATGGATTTTTTTTTCCAGAAGAATAAATCACTCCATTTAATGGTATTATTATGAGCTTAAGGCTCTATTACAAGTAGACTAACATTAGGAAATTTTCTATTTTGAAGTAATGCATAATTTGTTCCATGTATTTGATAAGTAGCTGTATGCCTGATTTAGATTAAGTTCTAAATAACAACAATACAAATCTTGGTTTGAAGTAGAATGATAATTACACGTTTTAATCCCAACCCCTGAAAGAACAAAAGACAGCAAGGAAATTAGTCATAAATCGCAATCTGAAGGTGTAAAACAGGCCTTTTCATTTTCTTTCTGAAATGTAATTTTCTCTGCGCAATTTGCCCGTTAAGCAACAAAGTAACATATCTGCAAAGAAAGTCGTGGAAATGACTCATTCTATTCAAGGGCAGATGTGAGAAGTATTCAAAAAACTTTTTGTGCTATCAAGAGAAACTGAATACCAAACTGCTCAGACCAATTAAGTTCTCTTTCCCAGTGTTTGGTCCAGTTCTGTAAATGAACAATACAGAAATTTTCAAAATGAATCATATAACTCAAAGTTGAAATGAAATAACAGAATGCTTGCCCTTACATACAATAACTAGCATTATGATCCCTGAAAGCTTATAATGCTTCCCGAAGCATACACACACAAGCATTTTCTTGCTAAGGCAATAATGCCTCTGTGAGAAAAGGCAACACGCAACTCAAGAGAAGGCGATTCTATATGCCAAAGAAATCAACAAAAAAAGAATGTAATTTTGGCATTGCAACCTTTAGAGAATCTAGTTTGCAATACCAAGCTGTTTGTTGTTTTATTGAAGATTTCTTTAATTTTAGGAGAAACCAATTAGCTGATTTTCCAGTAATCATGCTCGTTGATAATGGGTGGTGTAGGAATCTGTATCATATACCTGGCACTTGCTTCTAGGAGAATTTCATTGAAGGAACTAAAACTATCCATATTTTGATAGATTTTGCCAAATGCTCATATGTAACACAGCAATATTAGAGACAACTGTAAAATTGGAAACAAAGATAACTGACCATCATCCTCTTAACATTATCTGGATGATAATGTGATTCACCGATATTCAAAAGTATATAAGATTCTAAATATTAGTGATAAAGTATGTAACTTTTGTTCAGGTGAATTGGAGGGTCAAGATGGTAATATAAAACTTACCACAAAACATTGTCCCAGTCAAGGAAACCAGCATGCCCTTGAGCTTCTGTGAATTTGTAAACAGCACCCGATACTGAACAAATCAAAAGAAAAAAAATTAAAGCACCATCAAAAACATTAATTTCAAGCAATTAAAAGCTGAACATAGAAACTAAAATGATTCACATTATGTAGTTGAACAGAAAGGTACCTTCATAACCCTCAAGGACAGGATCTTCTGACAGTAAAAGGGGTGTGTCCAAATCAATGAACCTTCATAAAAGGTTTTGGAATTCAATCAACCAAAAAGAAAGTATTTAAAATTGAGTCTCACGCAGCTAAAATAAGAAGCAGAAGAGATGGTCGCTCGGAAAAAATAAACTAATTATGTAAATTTTTTCAACAGAGGATCATAACCACATATTTCTCACTTGAAACAGCCAAAGCCAGCAGCAAGATGACCAGCAAAGCCCATGGCTAGTCTGGTCTCAACCATTCCACCAATCATCAGATCCAATCCTGATGTCCTTGCCTCCTCAATAATTTCAAGTCCCCCAACAACACCAACTTTAGCAAGCTTAATGTTAATGACATCTGCAAGATTTCCTTTTATTATTCTCTTTGCATCAACTAAGCTACGACAACTCTCATCTGCTGCAACTGATACCCCATATTTGCCTTTTGCGATATGAGTAACATGACCAAGACCTTCCCAATCATCTCTATGAACTGGTTGTTCAAAAAGAATGGGAGTTACCCCCATTTCTGAAAGAAACAAGATAATATAAATTAGTTTCACCAATCAGAGAAGCCTAAATTCTTGAAATTGAAATTAGATGAATTGTAATTATATATGTGAAGGGGAGTTCAGATATAATCCAATAATCTCCTCTTCTTATCTAGTTAGTTGATAAGCTAGCATACAGAAGTCAACATCACTAAGTAATTACTGTGCAGTTCTTCAAGAACTTCAATAGCTTCCTCTGGTTTATAACCCTCATTAGCATCCAAGATAAATAAGCAATCAGGATGGACTGCACGTATAGCTTGAAGAACTTTTATGTCCTCCCTAAGGTTCTTTCCCACCTTCAACTTCAAAGTTTGGAATCCTTGTTTCCGATATTTTGAAGCTAATTCAGCAGCTTCTGCAGAAGATACAATTGGAATCTGCATATATGTAATATGTAATATGTATAAGCCCACATTTCATAGCAAATGCATTAAGCATGCCAAAGCCACAAATTGCAGTACAAGTCTATGTGGCATGTGCTCCAAAATGGACATGATGCAGCAAAGATCAGTATTGCACACACCAAAACAACAAAAACCACTTCCTTTCACAACACATCAAGTAAACCAGAGAATCAGGAACAGGAAACTTAACACTCCCTTCCCCACTTTTCAGATGAGCTCAAAGTGGCTTTAGAAGTGAAATGTGTTATAAAAGGAAGAAACGACATTGGTGAAATCATTAATAGCCAAAAGAATAAGCATCTATTAAGGTATAATCACCGAGAAGTGAACTGAACTGTTATATCAGTTGTTATGCTATCAGAAGCTCCACCAAATAATATCCATAAAGGTACATTGATGCTTTTAGCCACTGCATCAATCAATGCCATCTCAACTCCTGCTCTAACCTTCAATCGCAGAAGAAAGTTCAATAATCAGTAGAAATCCCTTTTATCTTAAAAATGAAGATTCTAGCAGATAAAACAGAAATGACAGTTTCTACCAGACTGTTATCAAGTGTAATTTGCAGACAAGCTTCACATATCCGCTGGATGTTTAACCAAACTTAAAACGAGTACACAGGTATCATTAAATGCATTACCAAAATTGTAATTCAACAACAAGAACTACAACCTATCAGAAGAAGCAGGGATGACAAGACTATATAATTATGCTCCTCGTGTACTAAAGTTCCAGGCTCTATGACTTTTCTCAAATGTTGGGAATTTTCAGCACAAGGAGATGATTATTTTAGATATGGAATGTCCATAAAAATACTCGGGAAGTTGCACCAATAACCTAGCTTTATTTAGTCTCAATTTAACCACATATTTGTATTTTAACATCACCAAAGCATGGCGCAAAATTTTATTTTTTATTTTTTTATTTTTTTCATAGATTAACAAAGACATCACATAAACCCAATATATTAAAAAAAAAAAATCAGGAAACCATAGAGTCCACATCCTAATTAAAAGACTCAATAAAACAAGCAGTCACCAAATTAACAAAACCATAAATAACCAATGGAAAAAAAACCCACAAGTAGTTCAAATCCCAAATAGCCAAAAGAAAAAACAACTAAAACCCTGAATTCTACTCACAGAAGCAAACTCATGTCCAGGAAGAATCTCAGAAACTCTCTCCAAAACCAAGCCCAACTTCATCGATGAACTGTTCTTCAGCAACTCACAAGCCTCTCTAGCCTTAATCATAGCAGTGGACTGATCCTCTGCAGTAACAAATGGCAATATCGGTGCCTCACCCCACCCCACACAACCATCACTCAATTCAATCCTAATTGCCACGTTCTCCACTTTATCAAGCCTTGATGAAGCTATTGTAAAAGGTGCAATCAATGGCACATTCAATGGCCTATTTTCTGCCCTCTTAACATCCACCGCAAAAGTCTCCATCAAATCCCTAAACTCAAAAGTTGAAACTTTTCTGGGGTTTGATCCAGCCATTGCTTTAGTTGCATAAAGCTTGCGAATGGGTTTAGGGGTTTTAGAGGGTTTTAGAGGTTTTGGAGTAGTTCCGAGAGAGAGACAGAGAGACCCAATTGAAAGCATTTGCAGATTTTTGGGAGGTTGTGATTAGATTTTGAAAGACAAATAGGAGGATCAACCATTGCTGTTCAAACTTCAAAGTGTTTGATGTTGAAGAGAAAGTTGGTGGTTTTTTTTTTTTTATTCAAGAAACCTTATTTTTTGCTGCTTGTTGCTCTTTCTCTGTTTCTTCCTTTTGTCGTTGGTTCATCTATTTGTTTTAATTTTCTGTCCTGTTACATAAAATTTTCTTAAGTGTTTATTGTTTAGAAATCATTTCACTTTAGTCCTTCAAGTTTTCGGTTCCTTGATGTTACCTCTCAATTTAATAAATTAGCACAATATTATACCCAATTAAAGATTAAATTGTTCTTATAGAAATGAATTAGAAAAGAGAGGATTATCCCATGATACATAGTTCGTTCAAGATTCCATGGACCGACCTTCTAAGTTCAAAGAAATTAAGAAAAATCAAAGGCATGATGTATGAATTCAATTTTATTATTTGCGAATTTTTGTTCATATTGAGTTCTCCATCATACAGAATCTAGGCAGGCAGATGCTCTTTGATAACCTTTGGTTAGGCTATAAAGCGTTTGAGCAATTTTTTAGGCCAGCGCCCGTGCTTTTGTTAATTGGTTAAAAGGAAAATGCTCCAGCCATGCTCGTATTTTAAAAAATAAAGAAAATATGACTTGCATTGTTGATTCAACTGAGAAAATGTAAATATAATTTAATTACATAATACAAAAAAATAACAGTTCATGAACTTATTTAAATAAAAAAATATATAGAAACTTACAAAAAAAAAAGTTACCAAGACAACAACAACAAAAAAAAGTTACCAAGACAACAAAGCTAAGATTTCATCAATCAAATAAAAAAATAAAATAAAAACACATCACCTAACCTAATAAATCATTCCAAATATGCAAACTAAATAATAAAATTAAAATAAATCAATAAAAATTTTAAAAAACAACCAACAAATTAGACAAACTAATTATATACGATCTAGAACTAGTAAATGAGATAGTTTAATAGAAAGTAAACTAATATAGATTATCAAGCTTAATTTGAAAATAATTCAATTCAATGTTAAATAATAAAATGTAAAAAAAAATATTAAATCTAAAAAAACAATCTTAGAAAACCTTATGTTAATCTAAATTCATCCGTTAAACTTTCAATGTAAATAATGAGACTAGAATAGATAAATAAATAAAAATTAAAAAAAAATCACAAAACTCAATATAAAAAAACTTTAATCTTGAAGGATGGAACTAGAAAAAAAATTTAATTTTCAAGCAATATAATACTAAAAGATTAAATAAAAAAATCAATTTAAAAGATTAGTCAAAATAAATTCAACAAAGAATGACAAATAATAATAACCGAGATAAAATGGATAATTTTTAAAATTAGAAGAAAAACTTATATAGAACCAAACAAATAAAAATAGCATAGCTAAAAAAAAACATGAGATTAAAAAAAGAAAAACAAAATAAGCAAACTTAAGTAAATCTTATAAACTCAAGTTAATCACTAAAATTTACAACCCATGAAATTCTAGACCCAAACTCGATCAAGAAACTCAATTCTTAATTAATTTAATGTTAAATAATAAAATCATAAAAAAAAATTATCAAAGTGAAAAAAAAATGCAATAGAAAATAAAGATCAAATTTAATAGAAAAAAAAAACTTAAAGATGATGAAATTGTAAAAACAAAATTAAAAATTATATCAAATAAAACATATAAAAATAACAAGAATGGAGACTAAACTTGAAATATTAAAAAATTAAAAGGAAATAAAATTGATAAATCATTCTAAATTTATAAATTATTCTACATAAAATAAATAATAAAAAAATCAAATCTAAAAGAATAACAAATTGAATAACTAATTTGATATTTTGAAGAGACAAATATGAAACTTAAGGAAATTACCAGTGCCAAACCAAACTGTTATTGGCCACAAGCATCGACTCATCATAAAAAGGAGCCATGACGATTCCATTTTTACAATGAAATATGATGTTTGATTACAAGATAATTCTACATGAATTGCTCAAAAGATACAAGAGATGGTTTATATATTGTTATGTGCAATATATATGTTAACAATTGTTTTTAATAATATTTAAATTTATAAAATTATAAAATTACCTCTAAACCTACATCATAATAACAAAATATCCACATGAAAAAACAACAATATCCCTGAATGTAAGTCATATAAAATTCATCTTTTAATAGCATTCAACTCATTTAATTATTTTTAAAAAAATAAAAATACTAAAGAGCTTCTAAATTTAAGATTAATAATTTTTTGCTTTTAAAAGTAATTAAATAATTATATCATTAAAAAACATAAAAGGACCAAGATGCCCCAATCAAATCTAAAATGATTGATGAATGATATAAAAAGATTTGACTACCTCTTACAGATAACTTAGTTTTTTTAAAAAGATAAAATAGTAATTTTAGTATTTCAATTTATAATCAATGAAGACTTTTCTACTGTACATTTCCTACTTGTTTAAGTTTTCTCTTAACGTAAAAAGAAAAGACAGAGATGGCTCTAATAAAATCTAAAATAATCAAATGAAAATATAAAATATCTTTGATAAACAGCTTTTTTTTATTAAAAAAATTGGTAAAATAGTAACTTTATTATTTGAATCTAGTAATCAAGACATTTACAAGCCACTTTTCCCATTTGTTGTGGGTTTTCTCTTAATATTTGTTGAATGCCCTTGCAGCCAAAAACTGACATTCTTCTTTGCGAGGTATAGCAGATTCTAATAACAATATATATATATATATAAACACTTTGCCATGCAAAGAAACTTTCAAGGCCAAGCTCCAAGCCATACCTTACTTGTTTATGTCCACCTTACTTTGCCGCTAAGCTTAGAACTACTTCTATATCATGCGTACCTATAAATAAGCATCTTCTGCAAATTTCATCAGCACATATTTATTAATTATTTTACCTGTTCGACCATAGAAAAGAAGAGCAAACAAAGAAAGTTTCGTTTTCAGCTCTAAGAATCAATAAGCATGCCGAATTATTCTTCGGATTCGGACAATGAAACAACGCCTCAGACAAAGCTTTTTGGGCGGCAGAGACCAATACGATCTGTTCTAGGAGGAGGACAAGGTACAGCATGTATATTTTTATGTGTCCCCTCTAGCTTGTAGTCGTAGGTCGACAAATTCATGTTAGATTACAGAACCAAGTTGTGTGTGTGTGTGTGTGTGTGTGTCAACCAAGTTGTGTGTGTGTGTGTGTGTGTATTCTCCATTTTGCATTTGCTCTATTGTTTCAAAGCAAAAGGTCTGCTAATTTTGCATTTTATTACTAATTTTAAATGCCAAGCGGCCTCTTAATTTCATGGGAGCACCGTAGAATTTGGATTATTTTTTTTACAATGATGATTGAATTCCAGATGTAGTGAATCAGGATTAGCACATGTTTCTTATAAACTTTGCTGCTGGAATTTGCAGTTGCTGATGTGTTGCTATGGGAAAACAAAAAGGTGTCAGCAGCACTTTCTTTTGGAATGACAGTATTATGGTTGCTCTTTGAGGTTGCTGAGTACAATTTTGTGACTCTCTTCAGTCACATCTCCATCACAGCAATGCTCATTGTCTTCATATGGTGCACCAGCGCAGAATTTTTCAATTGGTAGCTGTTAATCTCCCATAATTATGATTTCGCTTATAGCAGAAAGATTGTTTTCTTGATCGATCACAGATTTGCCGATTCCTCTTGGATTGAAACATAAATATTTTTCAGGAATCCTCCCGTGATCCCAAGAAGTATCTTAGACAAATCTACATTCCATGAATTTGCTCTCACCTTCCACGAAAGATTCAATCAGGCCTTGTCAAGTTTCGTTGACATTGCATGTGGAAAACAACCAGCACTCTTCTTCGTGGTATATTTACCATTCGCTAATACTAACCATGATTAACTCTAGTTTTGAAATAAATTCTTGATTGCCGAGCACACTAACACTAATCTCTTTTCTCTTTTCTGCATCTGCTACCAGGCAATATTTTGTCTCTACATATTATCTGTGATCGGAAACTATTTCACGTTCTTGAATTTCCTTTTTCTATGTGAGTAAGATTGCTGGCAGCTACCTCCCTGCTTAATTAAACATATGCTTGCCCATCCATGCATGATTTTGAGCTTATGGGACTAATGGATTGATTTCTTGTGTATCAAGGTTTTGTTTGCTTGCAAACTCTGCCATTTCTCTACAATAAATACGAGGATGAGGTGGAGAGGTACGCTGGTAAATTGACCCGAGAAGTTAAGAAAATGTATAGAAGGTTTGATTCCAATGTTCTTAACAACATACCCAGAGGACCGGTGAAGGAGAAGAAAGGCAGATGAAATCTTATTTTAATGCCACTAAAGATGCAAATGTGTAAAAATCTAATGTAAATGAAAAGGAGCTCAGTTTATGCATGTAGAAGTTTGTCATGCAAAGCTGATTCCATGTGTTGACATGAACAAGAATAAAATTTCATTTTGGTAGGCGTAGGATTGACACCGCTCATGAAAACATGAGGTTAGGCCTAAGCCCAAATTCTAATAAGTCATGGAATGCATCAAGGGTTCAAAGCCCGCCTTTTTTTTATCCAGGTTTTCTCTGTGACTCAACACCTGCTGTATCCATGAGTGGTGACACAATCTCCAAAAAAAAAAAAGAAAATCTCACCTTATCTAATTTGTTCATAATCAAATTAAAAGGATTACTAATAGAGATCAGATTTTTACTTTACGTAATATGTTATATTATGTATTAGAACAGTATAATAATTATTTTTTATTTAAAAAAAAGAACTAGCTATTACATTTAATACGATAGTTTTACAAAAATCTATTAGTTAGTTTTTTTATATATTTTAAAACATGTATAGCAAATTAACTAAATTACATATAAAATCAAATTTTATTTAACTAAGGGGGTTTTAGATTTTTATTTTTTTAAAGCATAATAAAATAATTAGATCATCTTTAAAAGTAAAAAGTTAAATGAGTATTCAAGGGTTTTTTTATAATTTCATTCTAATATTTTTGTTATAATCAAGTTGATTAAAGAGATAATAAACGATATTTCTTGATAGTTAAACACTGTTTTTCGTGAAGATATTGAAAGTATCTCAATATTCTTTT